TTAGCCAGGCGTGGTGGCACATCCCTGTAGTCCCAGCTACTCCAGAGGCTGAGGCAGGAGAATCACTTGAACTCGGGAGGCAAAGGTTGCAGTGAGCCAAGATCATGCCACTATACTCCAACCTCAGCGACAGAGTGAGACTCCATCTCACTTGATCATCTCTTATTGATCATTTGGATTTTTTCTTCTGTAGAGTTATTTCATTTGGATGTAGATAAAAAGGATATACGAGATAGAAAAAGAAAACTGAGTGCCAAGCTCTTAGTAGGTTCTCAAAAAATGATAGTCATTTTTATTGTTCAAAACATGTAGATAAAGACAAGCTGGATCCTTGCTGATGAGACTTAGTGTAGTTCTTCCTTAGTTCAAGGACTTTCTGTCTGTAAAGCATTCTGAAATAGCCAATATAACTGGTTACTTGTGACTCAAAAGACATTGAACACCTTGACCCTGACACTGCAGGGAAGAAAAGAAAGAGCTGGTGACTTCTATGAGGAAGGAAGTTGCTCAGGTGCAAACTAATCTTGCAATTTGAGAAGACAGAAAGGTGAACACTAGACTTAACCCCCAAGCTCCAAGTGGAACTCATTTGCACAGCGCCCCCCCCCTCAAAATTGTGCAAGAAAGTGAGACCCCCATCTCTACAAAATAAAAATTAAAAAGCTGGCCAGCCTTGGTAGCACGTGCCTTTAGTCCCATTTGAATACAATCGCAAATCTACTTACATAGAAAGAAAGCAGTTTCAGGAGAGAATGAGGTTCTGCTTTAAGTTTCTGTGGCTGTCCACAGAGCACAGCCTAAATGATCAAGTTTCTGCATTATAAGTGGTGTCCAGTTTTGAGAAGAAATTATTAAGCTGAAACCCAGTATCTCTGAAATTTTGGGGATGATGTATCTGCGAGAAGTGTTCTCTTCTGTAAGTACTTGAAATAGAAGAACATACATTCTTTAATTCAGAGGCCCCCAAACTTTCTTGGTTCACTCCGTGCAGAGCCCCCTGCAAAATACCCAATAATTTTTATTTATTAAGGAGTTAGTTTCAAAATACTTAAAAAGTTCTTATGTTCTAACAACTTAATAGTCATTTGAAAAAAAAAAACCCACAGGTACAAAAAAATTCACATATATTGTACATACAGACAATAATACACATACACTGAATAGACACGTACATGAAAAGACATATTTTATTTATATTTGTATTCCATTCTTAAATTTATGTGACCTCCCAGCAACAGAGTGAGACTCCACCTCAAAAAAAAAAAAAAAATTACGACTGTAGAACCTAAGACCAGCAGCCCTGCGCTTGATGGGTCAGCTGGCCCCACCCAGATGGATAAACTGGCTCATCTGATCTTGTGGCCCCCACCCAGGAACTGACTCTGTGCTGCAGAATATCTCAAGCACTCTGTTGCCCAGGCTGGGGTGCAATGGAGTGATCTTGGCTCACTGCAACTGCCACTTCCCAGGTCCAAACAATTCTCTTGCCTTAACATCCCGAGTAGTTGGGACTACAGTTGTGTGCCACGATGCTCAGCTAATTTTTGTATTTTTACTAGAGACAGGGTTTCACCATGTTGTCCAGGCTGGTCTTGAACTTCTAACCCCAGGTGATTTGCCTGCCTTGACCTCCCAAAGGGCTTACAGGCATGAGTCACTATGTTGGGCCTATCTATATGGTCCAAGATGGCTGCCACAGCACCAGCATTGTATCTGGCACAACAGTGCAGCCATCAAGGCAAGAATAAAGGGAAAGGTGAGATGCCAGGGTAAAATGTGACCTGCGTCTACACTCCATCTGGACCTGGTGGGGAATGGCAGGCTGAAAAGATGCGGAGTGATCTAGCCAACCAAACAGGGATAAACATTAGAAGCCTTGGTCATGTCAAGAAAACCTGGGATTGGAAAACTAGGAAGTTTGCCAGCCAAAGAATTTTTTAGGAAGACAGTATCTCCTTAGCCCACTGAGTTCTTCAGTGATTTCGAGAGACCAGTATATTGTATATGAGGACATCAAGACATATTCCAAAACTCTCATAGTGGAAATGTGTTGTTTTGCCTAAATGGCTTTCAGGTTTTTCCCGGAAGCCGCTAGTTTTAGAGCTATGGAATCAAACCTTACCTTGAATGAGGGAAGGGTGGGTCTAGAGGACTAATATGTGTTGGCCGAGGCATCAGGGAGGATGTAATATCTGATCTGAGATCTGAATGAGGAGTAGAAGTTGACCAGGAGGGCAAACAAGGACTCCAAGTAGAGAGACAGGCATGGACAGGGCCAGGTGAGGGAACATGGCTTATCTGATAAATTGTTTGGGTTCATGTGGAGATGATTCAGGGGCTAGGAATTGAAGCCTCTGTGGCTAACTAAGAGAGTCTGGTTTTGTCTTGAAACCATGGGAGACACTGAATCATTTAATTCACCAAAAAAAAACTCAACTAGAACCATGGTCTCTAGGAAAGCAACAATTTTTACTATGTGGCAGAAATTGCTTGATATTCATAAAATGCCTTTCTTTTTCCCCCTGGGCACATGGCTAGGCTACAATTCCCAGGCTCAACTGCAGTCAGGTGAAGCCATGTGACTGAGCTTGAGCTCGTCATATATAGATGAGAGGGAGATTTAGTATTTCTAGGCCCAGACCATAATAATCTCCTGCACAGCCCTCCACAGTCTCTTTTTCCCATTTTGTTGGAGAAGATCTGAGGACCTAGATGGGGCAGCTCCAAGATGGAAGCTCCATTTGGAGACAAGCCTGCCATGGACTATTATGTGAGCAAAGAATCCTGTCTCAGCCTCCCAAGTAGCTGGGATTATAGGCCCGCGCCACCAAGCCCAGCTAATTTTTCCATTTTTAGTAGAGACAGGGTTTCACCATGTTGGCCAGACTGGTGACAAACTTCTGAAATCAAGTGATCTGTCCACCTTGGTCTCCCAAAGTGCTGGGATTACAGGTGTGAGCCACTGCGCCTGGCCAATTTGAACGATTTTTAAGTGTACAGTTCAGTGACATTAAGTATCTTTACACTGTTGTGTCACTATATCATCCATCTCCAGAACTTTCCTCCCGAACAGGAAATCTGTACCCACTAAACACAAGCTCTTCATCCTTCCTTCCCCTCAAGCCCTGGAAACCACCATTCTGCTTCTGTCTCTATGAATGTGACTAGTCTATGTACTTCACACAAATGGAATCATATACAGTATGTATCCTTTTGTGACATCCCACAAGTTCTGTGATCATATAAGCTGTATAATCCTGGGAAACTCAACCTTCCTGACACTCCACTTCCTCATCTGTGAAATAGCTGTAATAGTAGTACCTGCTTCACAAGGTGGCTGTGAGGTTTAAATGAGATAATAGAAGCCACTTAGCCCCAGTGCCTGGCACATAGAACGTGTTCACTATTAGCTATTAGTTACAGCTAAGCATGTATTGTTAAATTAGTGGATGCTGGTATTGTGTGTCTGGCACTGTCCGGAGCGCTTCACCCATATCAGCTCATTTAAACTTCCTGACCACCCTATGACATGGGTGCAGCCACTAACATCCACACCTAACGGTTGAGAAAACAAACGGCTAGAGAGGCAAAGTCATGTGCACAAGGGTTACAAGGCTAGTTTACAGCAGAGCTGGGACTGAACTCCAGGCAGCCTGTTTCCAAAGTCCATGGGTCTTGCCGTTGCCTGTTGCTTGTCTCCTCTGCCTCGCTCAGTGCAGGATCATCATCTATACACTCAGTCCTGGCTCAGGCTGTCAGGGTGACTGCAGGTGTTTGAGGCCATGGGAATCAGTGGAAAAATAATTGAAGATGAGTTTGCTGTCTCTTTGTTTCTGTTTTATTGTTGAGAGAGGGTCTCACTCTGTCGTCCAGGCTGGAGTGCAGCGGCGCTATCTCGGCTCACTGCAACCTCTGCCTCCCGGGTTCAAGTGATTCTCATACCTTATGCTCCTGAGTAGCTGGGATTACAGGCACACACCAACGTGCCCAGCTAATTCAATCTTCCCTCCCTCCCTCCCTCCCTTCCTCCCTTCCTCCCTTTTCCTTCCTTCCTTCCTTGCTTTCTCTCTTTCTCTCTTTCTTTCTCTCTTTCTTTCTCTCTTTCTTCCTCTCTTTCTTTCTTTTGGCAGAGTCTTCCTCTGTCGCCCAGGCTAGAGTGTAGTTGCACAATCTCAGCCTACTGCAACTTCCGCCTCCTGGGTGCAAGTGATCTCCTGCCTCAGCCCTCCAAGTATCTGGGATTACAGGCCTGCACCACCACGCCCGGCTAATTTTTTGTGTTTTTAGTAGAGACAGGGTTTCCACTATGTTGGCTAAGCTGGTTTAGAACTCCTGACCTCAAGTGATCCACCCGGCTTGGACTCGCAAAGTTCTGGGATTACAGGTGTGAGGCACCCCACCTGGCTGAGTTTGCTGTTTCTTAACATGTGAGGTTCCAACCTGATGGGGCCCACTTACATGCGCTGGTCTGCTTTGGACTGTGGGGAGCTGGGGTGCTGGTCCCATCTCCCACTTTCTGCGGCATGGAGTGTGCTCCTAGATGACACAGCCAAGCGGGGGTGTTTTTCCCTCATTCGCAGAAAGTTTAGCAATCTCTGACTCCCTCACCCTGCCCTGTTGAGATTTCAAAAAAGTTTCCTCTTCTGAGCCTCAGAGCCACCTCCTACCTGGGCTTTATTGCTTTCTCTGCACGTGCATTGAGCCTCTGCAGCCCTTTAAAAGGGGCAGAGCCTGTAGTGTGATCAGCAGGTCCTGTCCCTGGGAGATAAGACAGTCCTGGACAGCAGGTGTGGATTTCCCAGCAGCTCAGGCAGGAGCCCAAGGCTTGTGCCGTCTGATCCCGATGTCCAGAGAGGTGAGCCTTCTGCCAGCATCTTCCTCTCCGGGCTGGCAGAGCAAGGGGGGCTGTGAATTAATTCAAGGTTGGGGGCCGGGCCCTTCCAAATCTGGGCTAGCCTCCACCCGTGTCCACTATCCCTTTTTCCCTACGGCAGAGAGCCATGTGCGAGCTTGAATTTGGCAATGGCAAGGCCAGGGAGCCGAGCGTGGGCAGCAGATGGCAAGCGTCCTGGTACGAACGCTTGGTGCAGCCTTGCCTGGTTGAACTGCTGGGCTCTGCCCTCTTCATCTTCATCGGGTGCCTGTCGGTCATTGAGAACGGGACGGACACTGGGGTGCTGCAGCCCGCCCTGGCCCACGGGCTGGCTTTGGGGCTCGTGATTGCCACGCTGGGGAATATCAGGTGAGACTGGCTCCGAGCATTCAGCCTGGTGCTGACGAGGGGCACTGGGGGTGGAAAGCAAAGTGGTTGTCAAGGACCCCTGGGTGCATACCTATTCAGGATTTGAAGGAGCACTGTGGATAATTATGGGGTTGGGAGTCAGACTGTCTGGGGTCAACTCTGGACCCCAAAGCCTGTGAGCTTGTGACTTTGGGCAAGTCACTCTCTTTTTGAGTAGCTGGATCACAGGCATGCACCACTGTACCCAGCTAATTTTTAAATTTTTTCATAGAGATGGGGACTCACTGTGCCCAGGCTAGTCTTGAACTCCTGGTCTCAAGTGATCCTCCTGCCTTGGCTTCCCAAAGTGCTGGGATTACAGGTGTGAGCCACCATGCCTGGCTGGCAAGTCACTCTAAACCCCAAATTCCCCATCTATAAAACAGAAATAGTAGCTTGCTTGCTTGCTTATTTATTTATTTATTTGAGATGGAGTCTCTCTCTATTCTCTCTGTCACCCAGGCTGGAGTGCAATGGTGCCATCTCGGCTCACTGCAACCTCTGCCTCCCAGGTTCAAGCGATTTTCCTGCCTCAGCCCCCCGAGTAGCTGGGACTACAGGCACACACCACCACGACCAGCTAATTTTTGCATTTTTAGTAGAGATGTGGTTTCACCATGTTGGCCAGGATGGTCTCGATCTCTTGACCTCGTGATCCACCCGCCTCGGCCTCCCAAAGTGCTGGGATTACAGGTGTGAGTCACCGGGCCTGGCCAGTAGCATACTTTTAAATGATTTTTTTTTTCAAAGCAACACATCTATATTGCTAACCATGTACCAGGTACTAGTCTAATTACTTTAAAGATATTAGTCATTTAATTCTCATAAAAGCCTTGTGGGGTAGGTCCTGTTATTAGCCCCATTTTGCAGCTGCAAAAGGCAAAGGCTGTGTAATCTGTCCACGTTTGGAGGGCCGGAAAGTGGCAGAGCGGGAGTCAAGAACAAGCTGTCTGGTGACAGCGCTCAAATCCAAGGACCTCACGGGGGAGGCATGAGAATTAAATGAAGTAAAGCACCTGGTGCACACCAAACACTCAATAGGTATTGGTTGCCATGTGATTGTTACTGCTAGAAGGGGGTTTTAGGGAAAGCAGAAATGTGCAGAAGACCTGAGCCAAGTTTTCCCACCTGGGTATACAGGGATCTGCAGTGGTCCCAGCTTGTCTAGAAGTGATCGGGAAGGAGTGGCAGGGAAAGGGACAGGCTCTCTGGCTTAGCTCTCGTTTGCGTGGAGGCTCCATGGGGAGATCTGCTAGTTCCCAGGAGAGCCAGCCATCACGACGAAGATCTTGAATGGGGCGCCTGGCAGTGTGATCTGGGACATGGTTGGTCTGTATTAAATCTCACTCAAAAAATAGATCTGCATGAGGAAACAGAAATACTGTTTCTCAGAAAATCAGAATGGAAAAGAGCTTTAACATCTCTTTATGCCAGTGCAGTGACTCACACCTGTAATCCCAGCACTCTGGGAGGCTGAGGCGGGTGAATCACCTGAGGCCAGGAGTTTGAGACCAGCCTGGCCAACAGGGTGGAGCCCTGGCCTCTACTAAAGATACAAAAATTAGCCGGTCATGGTGGCAGGCACCTGGAGTCCCAGCTCCTTGGAAGACTGAGGCAGGAGAATCACTTGAACTGGGAGGGGGAGGTTGCAGTGAGCCGAGATCACGTCACTGCACTCCAGTCTGGGTGACAGAGTGAGACTCCGTCTCAAAAACAAAACAAAACAACAAAAAACAAAAAACCACATCTCTTTAGACATTCAAGGGAGGTTGCGAGTGAAACAGAAAGTACATGATCTTCCCTTTGGACGGATCTGAGATTGAATGGAATCTTTATCACTTCTTAGCTGGGTGACCACAGCAAGTTGCTGGAGCTCTGTGTGCAGGGGTACGAATGTGAGCAGTAATAACGGCTGACGTTTACTGAGTGCTAACTACATAGATAGTACTATGGGCTCTACACATACTAATTCTTTATATCTTTGCAATAGCTTTATCGGGCAGAGATCCTTGAGGTAAAGAGAGGTTATGTAACTTGGCCAAGGTCACACAGCTCTACAGTGGCAGAGTTGGGCCTTGAACCCAGGCCAGGGTTCTCAATGCCATTTCCAGCCTGAACGGCAGGCTTAGAGCCTACCTTTTATCCGCATTTTACACCCATCACACTTTCAGACCACAAGTAGGGTTTTCAATGGCTGAGCAGTTCAACCGATCCATCAGGAGCTCTGATTCAGGGCCTAGCTGCTCATGAAGGGAGGCCTGGGCCAGGTGCGGTGGCTCATGCCTGTAATCCCAGCACTTTCAGAAGCCGAGGTGGGTGGATCACTTGAGGTTAAGAGTTCGAGACCAGACTGACCAACATGGTGAAACCTCGTCTCTACTAAAAATACAAAAATAAACCGGGCGTGGTGGCAGGTGCCTGTGGTCCCCAGCTACTTGGGAGGCTGAGCCAGGAGAACTGCTTGAACTCAAAAGGTGGAGGTTGCAGTGAGCTGAGATCACGCCCCTGCACTCCAGTCTGGATGACAGAGCAAGGCTCTGTCTCATAAAAACAAACAAATCATAAGGGGAGGCCTGGATACAGCTCTTGGGCTACTAACTTGGAGCCTTGGTGTCTCAATCTGAACTATGGCCACATCTCTAGAGGGCTGGAGGGAGGCTCAGAGGGAGCCAGGGAGGAGTTAAGGGATGGTCTCCCTACACGCTCCTCCTCCAGGGCCATCCTGGGGGCTGGGCTTAGGGCTTAGAGCCTGCCTTTTATCTCTTACCCTCCACCTGGCCTTTCAGGGAAAATGAAAGCAATCTGGTGCCTCTTTGTATGTGAGCTGGGCTCTCCCCCTGCGAGGCCAGCCTGGTGGGCTGGCTGGGACGCGTTGTCTTAAGTGCCAGTCATGCTATCAGCCCTGGGATCATGACTTCCTCTGCTCTTGTGGGTTACAGTGGTGGACACTTCAACCCTGCGGTGTCCCTGGCAGCCATGCTGATCGGAGGCCTCAACCTGGTGATGCTCCTCCCGTACTGGGTGTCACAGCTCCTCGGGGGGCTGCTCGGGGCTGCCTTGGCCAAGGTGGGTGACCCCCAGGAGCTGGGCTAGCGGCTTCCTCTCTGATGGGGCTGCTGGAGGTGCATGAGTGTGTGTTGAGGGGCAGTGGGGAGTGGGGAAATGCCCAATCCTTTGCTTGTTTCTGCCAGTGGAATTTGTGGACCCTTTTCTTCTCTCTTTCTTATTGCATTTAATTTTATTTTTTATGTGTTTGTTTTTTTGAGACGGAGTCTTGCTCTGTCACCCAGGCTGGAGTGCTGTGGTGTGGTCTCGGCTCACTGCAGCCTCTGCCTCTCAGGCTGAAGCAATGCTCCTGCTTCAGCCTCCCAAGTAATTGGGATTACAGGGACCTGCCACCATGCCCGGCTGATTTTTGTATTTTTAGTTGAGACGGGGTTTCACCATGTTGGTCAGGCTGGTCTCAAACTCCTGAGCTCAAGTGATCTGCCTGCTTCGGCCTCCCAAAGTGCTGGGATTATAGGCGTGAGCCACTTCGCTGGGTCTCTCTTTTTTATTTTAGAGATGGCGTCTCTGTTGTCCAGGCTAGAGTGAGGTGGTGGTGTAATTACAGCACTGCAGGTTTGACCTACTGGGCTCGAGTGATCCTCCCGCCTCAACTTCCTAAGTAGCTGGGACTATAGATGTGTGTCACCACATCCAGCTTACTTCTAAAATTTTTTTTGTGGAGATAGGCTATCACTGTGTTGACCAGATTGATCTCCAACTCCTGGCCTCAAGTGAGTCCTGCCTTGGCCTCCCAAAGTGCTGGGATAACAGTCATGAGCCACTGTGCTTGGCCAGTCACAGAGTTTTCATAGCCCTGTGCATAAATCCATGGATAGACTTTCTCCCTCCGTCCCTCGCTTTGCTTTGCCCTTTCCCTTCCCTTCCTTCCTTCCTTCCCTCCCTCCCTTCTTCCTTCCTTCCCTCCTTTTTCTTTCTTTCCTTTCTTTCTCTTTCTTCTCTCATTCTCTCTCCTTTCCTCCCTCCTTCCCTCCATCTCCTTCTCTCTCTCTCTCTCTCTCTCCTCTCTCTCTCTCTCTCTCCCCCCCTTTTGCCTTTAAGCCTCAGTTCAGCCAGGGGACCTTCAGCTCTTCCAGATGTGGGCCTTGCTTGGCACGTGTGTGGGGAGTGGTGAATGGGAGAGCTCAACCATAAGTGCTGACCCACCGCACTTTCTTCTCAAGCCTCACTTTGCTGTCATCCCCTGCCCTGGTCTCTCCATGCCTCGCTTTGAGAGCCCCAGCCTGTTACCCTGTCTGTGGAACACGCCTGGGACCTTCCTGCTCTGCTTCTTTATGAAAAGCAGTGGCCAGACTCTGGCTTAAGCCCTGCCTCTTAAAACCTGCCAAACGTGGTTCTGACAGTTTTGGGGCAGCAGGGTTCCCTAAATGCATTCTTCCTGCCAAGCGCTTTACACATGTTCTCTTATTTCATCTCCCAGCAACTTTACGAGAAACCACAGTAAGTTCATCGAGAGCACTGACCTTGTGCCAGGCACGCCAGCAGCCTTGTCTGTGAGCTAGGAGCTGTCAGTATCATCCCTATTTTACAGATGAGAAAAAAGAGTCACAGAGAAGCGGGTAACTTGTTCAAGTTCAGACGTGCTTGGAAGCAGCACGGCCCCATTGGGTCTAGAGTCCAGAAACTTGTGCACTGCCCTAGCTTTCCCTTGGGGACTGCGACAGTCCTGAGGCCGATTGCCTGCAGAAATAATTGAGCTCAGGCTTGAGGACTCTGGCACATGCCCCTTCCAATGTCCTAAGGGGATCTAGCGATGAGTTCACCTGACCATATGTGTTTGCAAAGTAAGGTATTTTTAGTTGTGTGTGGTAGCTGATGCTTGTAATTCCAGCATTTTGGGAGGCGAAGGCGGGAGGATCACTTGAGCCTAGGAGTTTGAGACCAGCCTGGGCAACACAGTGAGACCCTCCATCTCTACAAAAAATTAAAAAGAAATTCGGTGGGCATGGTGGCATGTGCCTGTGGTCTCAGCTACATGAGAGGCTGAGGTCGGAGGATCACTTGAGCCCAGGAGGTGGAGACTGCAGTGAGCTATGATCATGCCAGCGCCCTCCAGCATGGGAGACAGAGCAAGACCCTGTCTCAAAAAAAAAAGTAAGACAGTTTATGTTCTTTTTCTCAAAGAGGGTCATCTAAGTTATGTAACATTTAGACCTGTAACTTGGAGCCATGACTACGTTATCCCATTTTCCTTCTTTCCTTCCCTCCCTCCTTCCCTCCCTCCCTCCCTCCCTCCTTCTTTCCTTCCCTCCTTCCTTCCTTTCTTCCTTCCTTCCCCCTTCCCTCCCTCTTTTCTTTTTTCTTTTCTTTTCTTTCCTTTCCTTTCTTTCTTTGATGCAGTCTCGCTCTGTTGCTCAGGCTGGAGTGCAGTGATGCAATCTCACCTCATTGCAACCTTGGCTTCCAGAGTTCAAGGATTCTAGTGCCTCAGCCTCCTGAGCAGCTGGGATTACAGGTGCCTGCCACCATACCCTGCTGATTTTTGTGTTTTTAGTGGAGACAGGGTTTCACCATGTTGGTAAGGCTAGTCTTGAACTCCTGAGCTCAAGTGATCCACCCACCTCGGCCCCCCCAAAGTGCTGGGGTTGCTGGCATGAGCCACTACACCTAGCCCCATTCTCACTTTTCAGCTGAGCACAGTGAGGCCCAGGGAGGTTCAGTAGCTCACACAGGGTCACACAGTAAATCTGGCAGAGCTGGGATATGAATCCAGGTGTATCAGACTGAAATTGGACATGACCCTTCACTGGCCCTTAAGGTGGGAGGGTGTGTGTTTTTAGGCCCTCTCCCCTCAGTTTCCAGCTGTTTCTGCTCCACTGTGAGGCTGAGCAGCTTCTCTGTGCAGGCAGTGAGTCCCGAGGAGAGGTTCTGGAATGCATCTGGGGCGGCCTTTGTGACGGTACAGGAGCAGGGGCAGATGGCAGGGGCATTGGTGGCAGAGATCATCCTGACGACGCTGCTGGCCCTGGCTGTATGTATGGGTGCCATCAATGAGAAGACAAAGGGCCCTCTGGCCCCATTCTCCATTGGCTTTGCTGTCACCGTGGATATCCTGGCTGGGTGAGTGTCCCTTGGCAGTGGGGTGACCATGCCCAGGTCTGCGCTGTTCAGCTCTGCAGGACTTCAGGCCTGAGGGCCACAGATTCAGTTGCTATTAGGGGCCAGGGAGGTGCTGCAAATGGGGAGGTGGGCTGGCATCAGGCAGACAATAGGGAGTGGTGGGGACTGCAGTGTCAGAGGCGCTCCAGCCGATTCAGCTATTTTCAATGATTGCTGTGTGGGAACATGGGTCTGGGGTTATGCTTCTTCTGATTTCATTCAAGGGAAGTCAGAAATTTAAATCTGCATGTGATGTTTTCCAATTTTGGTAGTGAAAACGTAACATTTCTGTGTACGGGGTTCATTTGGTTGGCGGGTAGCCAGGTTTCAGCCTCAGGCCCTCAGGCTTAAAAACAGCATCTGTAGCTGTTGTCTAATATATTTTGAGTCTCTCAGGAGGCTTTGGAAGGGATTAACTAGACAAGTTTGGGGTGATGGCTCCCGTTTTATTTCTTTTTTCTTTTCTTTCTTTCTTTTTTTTTTTTTTTTTTTTTTTTTTTGAGACAAAGTCTCACTCTGTCACCCAGGCTTGGAGTGCAGTGGAGTGATCTTGGCTCACTACAACCTCCACCTCCTGGGTTCAAACATCTCCTGCCTTAGCCTCCCTGAGTGGCTGGGATTATAGGTGTGTGCCACCACGCTTGGCTAATTTTTGTATTTTTAGTAGAGACGGGGTTTCACCATCTTGGCCAGGCTGGTCTCAAACTCCTGACCTCGTGATCCGCCCACCTCGGCCTCCCAAAGTGCTGGGATTACAGGCATGAGCCACTGTACCCAGCGATGTCTCCTGTTATATAGGTGAGGAAACTGGAAGAAGGCGTGGGGGGGGGCGGGGAGATAAAAGGAAAAAAAAGGACGAAGGAAAAGAGGAAGAAAAAGAAAGCGGAAAAGCAAGAAAAAAGGAGGGGGGGGAAAAATAAAGATTGAGGTGTGGTAGGGAGGAGGATGGTGCACAAGCGGCAGGCGGGGTCTAACACAGCGACCATCTGTATATCCTCCCTCCTTCGGTCCGCACACAAGTGCTGGATTACAGGCCATGACACTGTACCCCCACATTTCATCCTTGTTATGACAGTAGGTGAGAGCAACTGCGCTAACAGGAGAGGTCAGAGCAAGTAAGATCTTGATGACTATAAGAGGAAGCCCTTAATAGCCTTTCCACTTTTTGGGACATTGTTGCAGACTTACTAGTGACGTAAAGATTGGGACCAAGTAGGGGGATGAATAACTCTCCCTTTCCTTTGCCTTATGTTCGCTCTCATGTGTCATGAGTCATGTGGAACGGTCTCCTGCTATGCTGGCCTTGAAGCTTGCTCCATTCCCCAAAAAGAGCTGCTGTCTTGACCTGACTCCCTAGGTCCATTTGGCCTCGAAGCTTCTTCAAATCCAGTCCTGGTCATCTTCCCCACACGGGCATGCCCTAGACCCACCAGTGCTTGGGTCCATTGAGCCAGTCTCTCCTCATACACGTCCGGGTATTCACAGAGGGTCGTAGTTGTCCTTCTAGGTGCTTTGGGAGCACAGGACCAGTCGTCTCTTATCTCCCACACTAGTTCGTCTGTTCCTGGTCGCTCTAGCTATGTTCTTTGGACCATCACAGGACCAAGCTCTATTTAGAGATATCAGCTTGCCGTGCCCGCCATGGGGCCGTGGGTGCAAAGACACTGTGTGTCGCTCACTACTATAGTGCGAGATAGATGGCCACTCCGAGGTTGCATGGCGGGCGATAGTCCGTGTGCTGTACCAATGACGTCGGCCTTTGAGCTTCATTTGACTATAGTCCCTTCTTTTGCCGACTCCTCGTAGCTGGTGAGCACAGTTTGTGGGAGTCTCGATTTAGGCAAGCCTATTTCAGACGAGACCCAACCTGAGGGATTCGAGGCTGACTTACAGGTGTAGTGCATAGAGGTCTACATGGAGCGAAAAGAGCCGAAGGAGCAGCTCGACCGTGATGGAATTTGGGTATCCATAGACAGGCAAGCAGTCTCCCAGACGTGAGTAGGAAGAGAAGTTACGTACGGGCCCTATAAGCTGTCGGCATCCAACATCTCACCGGGTCCGTACTTTGCTGAGCATTCTGGGCACTTAAGCCTTAGATGCGTAGTGCATTTAAAGCAGTGCTTGGCCTCTTACTTGCTGACTCCTCAAGCTAAGACTCAACAACGTTAGATGGCCTTTTATATAAAATCAACGGCTCAGGAGTAGTGACAACAAAATCAGAAGAGAGATCAACAAACAGCATATAACGTGATCTACACGGGAGGAAGAGGCAAATATTGAGACCAGAGGAATTAGAGAACGCACCTTGATACTTCCATGCCATATAGCGACGTGGCTTTAAGCGCACGCAGAAGAGCTCCTCTCTGTACAGTTGCAGGATAACTCTTCCGCAGGCTTAACCCGCCTACAGAATCGTGCCTACATCTCTCTGCATCGGGTAGACCTCTTCTTCCCCTATGGGTACCGGCTGTCTCTCTACCCAATCTTTCCCTCCTCTTCTCCTTCGGAGTGGCGAGGCTGGTGTCCTGTACGGATCCTTACCCAGCCACATTCCCACCCTCGTTGAGTCCCCATGCGGGTCCCTGTAAGACCTCAAAGAGGCTCCCTGTAAATCGACCACTCGTATGTCCAGACCCGGCCTCGACAGTCAGGAATAGGCATTGATAATGAGCATACAGTCATGGCCACCCGCGTCCATTAGACTACACGGACAGTGTCAAGCCACACAATCCATGGCGCACCACGGCTCTAGTCTTTCTTTACCCAAAGCACACATGAGACATTCGACAGCTCCAGTGCCTTGGCCCCACGCTCTCGATTCTACATAGTCGTTTCCACACGAAAGATTCCGATTGAATGGTCGCTGCCGTGTCCCCAATGGGAACAAGGAGGAACATTGAGACCTATGATGGGTACGCTAGGCATCGTCCATACAACTCGAGCAACCAAGCACATGTGGACACTCGATGGGCAGCCTGGTAGATACGCAGGGAGCTTGAAAGTACTGCTTGACTTAGGGCCCCACAGAACATCATGTGTGGTATCAGGGGTCCCTGTAAGTAGAAGCCAGAGGCAGTCTTATGCGAGGACGGCCCAAAGATGAGTGATGTCTCCAGAGAGGACTCGGGAGGGACGCTGCGGCTAATCAATAGGCCAGGGACGCCTTCAACCGACTCTCTACGACATACTAGAGGGCAACATAAATGCATTCAGAAGGGCATTCACTTCCACATCTCTCAATACGTAACTTAGTCACCAAAAGGTTAAAGTGTGCTACTTAGACTTCAGCCTCAACTTCCTGTGCCCGTCCTGCGAGCACTTTGAAACTCTACATGTCAGCTTTCTTGTCCCTCCACTGCCCGTTCTGACCTCATTTGCCTTATATCCACCAGCACTCTCAACTATATGCATCGTCACTGCGAGACAGCTGAGTCGCTTGCATTGTTTATCCCTCACAGTGGCTTACATTATAACAGGACGCTGTTACCTCCACATCCAGCCTGGGTTGTAGCGAGCAGTCGAGGCTCATGGTCCGCTGGGGTCAGGATATCACGCAGCAAAGGACTTCAGTTGGATTAGTTGCAGCACCGAGGTAGGGCCTGGATCCACCGAGATGGTCGAGAGACACGCCCTTTGATGCTCATCCACTAGACCAAATGGCCAAGCAATAGGTGAAACTCTAGCCACACGCGTGTCGTGCTGTGACTACACACATCATAATAAATTACCATGCCAGCCACACGTCTTAGTTGGACAGGCTACAGGACCATAGTAGAGTATATTGCTCATTTGAAGCCCACCAGTAGGTTGGCAGAGGGGAGGCTATTGCGGCAGTAGAGATGTTATCCTAGAACGTCACATGGCCACTGCACTCGAGCGTTAAGGTTGTAGTGATCCTGGCGCTAACAGATCAAGCAGTGCAGCACTGGTTGTCATCTCCAAGCACAAATGAGAAGTGACACAAAGAAGATAAGTGAAGACAAGTAAGGAAATGATCTAACAAAAAACAAATAAAGAAACAATAAAAAAACAGAAGAAAAAGAGAAAGTGCCAACTAGTCACACACAAGCACAAAATAGCATTGATCCATATAAGTATACGGGATCCGACGCCTTCCAAAAGTCCCACCCCCTCCTAGATGCATGTGACTCCTATTATAAATATATTCCCATGTCCACAAGACAGACCAGCTTCCTATCAGAGATGACGCTTGCAATTATATATTAGTTACAAACAAGCCATGAGGGCCTGAGAGCAGTGAGATGAACTAGCTTCTTGCTAAAGCAACGCGCCCCCATGAAGGCGCCTCGAGATGGCTGAACATCCCCGTACATGCAGGACGAATTGAACGTTGCTCTCGCCTATTGCTGCCAACATGAACTACCCAACCACGATTAGGCAACAAAGAACAATGCTTACACGTGTTCAGATTCCATACAATTTACTGAACTATATTGGACACAACTTGAAAATTTCGAACAATTCGGAAGCAGATTTTAAAGACTAGTCCTGACTAACCCTCCCGATCTGAACCTTGTTCAACCATCAGAGTGTCACGAGCAATCATATAGACCAACACTAAGACTGAACCTCAGTGTCTTGGACGCGCACCACATCTGACATCTGCAATCATGCAGTCTGACAAATACGCTAGGCATCAGGCTGGCACGCTACGCTTGCTTGCACTGCCTACGTATGAGCCCACCTCGCAGTCCCCCCCACATCCCCTATGCAGCACCCCTTGTCGCCTATTCCCGATGGCTGCCAGCCCCAATCACATCGCGAAACTAATCTGTCCCGATCTTGCAGCACTCAGCCCGGCCTCCCTGAGCACCGCTCATCAAGCAGCATGATGCTGTGGACCCTCGCGCAGACCTGAGCGTGAAGCGATCGCGTCACGGTCAGTGCACCCTGAACTGCCAAGCCGGACAGCTCACACCTGGGCACCAGCCAGATATGGT